TGAAAAAATTAGTAAAATCTCCTATTATTTGCGCATGTAAATACATGATGCTATTTGGTGAGCGTTAGAACGTAATAAGAGAATATTACGAGAACATTTGTATTGCATCTAGAACTACAGATCTGAAGTCTCTCTATCTAAATCAAAGGTCAAAATCGAAATTTCATCTATTGTGTTGGAGCAAAAGTCTTGGCCGAATTTTTTCCTTTTCAATTTTTTAAAATTTTATTAGAACAAAATACCACCAATCAACAACATATACATCATTGTTATCCACAACATATCCCCATCTGTTAGGCAAATCTACAATACCATCTTCAAAGGATGTGAGTGTAAGTATAGGCGTGAGGTTGTGTAGATGTAGGTGTAGATGGGGTGAGAGCGTCTTCACTTCACTCGAACTGCCATCCACATCCTGTTCGGGAAAGGGACATTTTGCACTAACTTTTCATTACGATCTCCAATAACATATGTTCGTTACGATCATATGACATAAGAAAAAAAGACAGGGTGTTCGGAATGACAAAAAAACAATCAAAAATTGAAAAAAGCAGGGAGTTCGTAATGAAAGTTGTCCAGCTGATCGTAACGAACAGCGATGATCGAGTTTGACAGATAAAAACTTGAAATTTGACTGGAGTTCCGATCGAAAATGATCGGGGGATCGTAACAATACAGACATTGAGATCCTAATGAAAGTTAAGGCAAATAAAACAGTAAGTGTTTGGACATCATAATGAAAATTGCAGGGAAATTTTAATGAAAAAAGACAAATTGCTCGAAACTGTGTTCTTGTTTGCTCTTCTTTGGGAGATGTTAAGTGACTCACTAGTTTTTATTATAAGATGGTACACATAGAATGTCCTAATGAATTCAAGCAGTCAATATTTCTATTGTTGTTACTACTGTCACTCAAGCGCTTGTATTTATCATTATTATCCGTTATATGCACATGCTTTCTATTACGAATTCCATAAGTTTTGAAAGAAAAAAAATGTGTTCAATTATTATTCTAGATGAATGAATCCTATTTTTCATAATAAGGAAGAAAGGAAAAAAGTCTATACAATCGTTACCGATATCAGAATGAATCCGTTACGGCTTTCTAGAAAATCTTATAATGAACTCTCGATCATTTTCGTGACGATCTTCAGACCTTTTCCTATGAAAAAATATCCTTAGAGTGTTATTCCGAACACTCGGTCTTGTTCATCCCAATCTCTGGACACTATTTTATAGGTAATAATGAGCATGCCATTCCGAATTCCCAGTCACACTCTTCCGATCTCCCTGCTTTTTCAATACGATGTCCCGTCCAAAAAGGCTAACGAAGTCCCGTCAAAGATTCTTAAGGACAAAAATAATTTCTGAACACTCGGACATATGATCGGAGTCCAGAATGACTTAGTGCGAAATGTCCGTCGCCCCCCCCCCCTCGTGCCTTTGTATGTAATATTATTCTGCAGTTAGCTGAATGTGATATTCATAAGATCAGCGATCTCATATTATGGATGGTTCAATCTTTATGATTAGAGAAAAATTAAGTGATAATAATCCCTATGTTGGTTATTTTTCGTCATTATCGAAGTTTCCTTCGTTTTGCTAATATCTATAGAGCGAAATCCAGTCTTCTTCTTTCTTCGATACTGCTACATATAATCCCTTTCAATGAAAAATTTTTCATCTTAATTCAAAAGAAAACATTTGACTTCATATGTTATAAAAACGCACTGTATTCTAAAGACCTTCTCTCTTTTTTACCTATCGAAATTCAGA